GTGGCCACATTTGCGCGCTTAAGATTTGGCATTTCCTCCTCAGCATTTTATACTCACGAAGTCGCTTAAACCCCCAGTACTTTCCAAGTGGATCTAAATGCTCAATTGGCACTCTTCTGCATAAGTTTTTCTCCTTCCCATGCAATTTTAGCGCCCTGTCGGGCAAATTTTAAGCCCCTCGATGGAAGAAAAGCGGGCACTCTGCCCAAAAAAACAAAAGTATAAAGTAGGGGATATGTGTAACAGTAAAAACAGGCAAAAGTCGGCATTTTGCACGAGCTTATTTCATTAGCCTCGTTTGAATGAACGCATTTCATGTGTGTTTTTCTCGACGCAGACACTGCTGGTAGCTTCATCGACCGCATTTACAATAACGGTACTCAACGTGCGCTATCGACTGCCCGAGAATCACCGGATGACGTCGCTGGTACTGCGTTTACTGCTTTCAATCTTACTTTCAAAAGTTCCGAGTAGGAGGCTTCCCGTACCGACTGCCTGCAGCCAGTCGTCCTTTCCAGTGCATACACGCATTGTTGTATCCATACCTCCCTCGCGATCATTTTCTGTCCTTACGAAATCGTTTTTAAATTAGCGATTAGATTTCTCGTGCTAAATTGAGTTTGTACTCGTACGCTGATGATCCGTGTTTTGGAAAGCAGTGGATTTCGAATACTGTTTGCAGATCCGTGCAATTTTCCATGGCTTCATGGCAAGGTTACTGCATATGAAACGCCCGAAACACGAGCAAGGCAGAGCGACCGTCGCCATCGAAAACGGATACATTGCGCAAAGACTAACAAGAAGTCCCATTCCTGTGGTTAAATTTTCAAAATTCCAACTAAGAAGTACAAAAATTAGATAAAAATCTGTTCAAAATTAATGAAAGAAAAGATTTTTATTAATAAAATGAAGATGAAATTAACTTATAGCTGGAGAGGTACAGCTCAGTAAGGCGTCTGCTAATTCGGGCTGGCATCGAGGATGATTGCTATCCCATAACGCTGGCCAGTAAAATCCAGGATATTCCTACTGAACATTTGTATTTGCCGGAAAAAACTGGCGAAGGGTTATTCGATAAACCGCTGTGCATCAGCATGGAAAGAAGGAGAGCGGCGCAGTGTGAGAAGCATATCAGAAGATGTATGCAGAAGCTTGCGAATCCAGGTACA